TTTCTTTCACGATGTATACCATGTTATATACAATATCAAATAAAGAAATGATGCTTACCTATAAGAGGAAACCCCCCCCAAAAAAAAAAAAGTAATAGTTATTTGACATAACATTATCGAATAACTGAGATATTTGAAAAATGCAATTTGATTAGCTGTATTCTGGGCTTCTAATGGAGCCCAGAATACAGCCAATCAAATCAGGCTTTTTAAATACTGTTAGCTACCTTTAGGTGGTGTAGTTATTCGATGATGTATGCTGAATAACTAATTTATCAGGCTATTTTTTTTTCATGATTCTTTTTTATTTCGAAATTTTTTTTTATCACAAAATATTTTTTTATAAAATATTTTTTCGTTGTTAAATATATTCTTTTAAAAAAATATATCTAATAAAAACGATTATTTCAAATTATTCAAAGCTGAACTTAATAAAATAAAGAATAATCAAATTCCTCAAAATACCAAAAAATGTACAGAAAAATGGATCGATATTATGAACAAATGGCAAAATCATGCTAATGTTGGTTACAATTACACCCTTGAATCTATTACCTCCAAATCACAACTTGAAAAAGAAGTATGCGAATTTATTTATGGGGTCCGTAATTTAAAAGGCAATTACTATTCCTAAGCTTTTTTTGAAAAATACCGTTTCATCTATTAGTCGACATCTTTGTGAAGTCAAACCTGACTGAAATTATAATTTACTTAATAAAAGTAAATTTCCAGATATTTTTACTACTCTTGATGGAACATTGAAAGAAATGAAAAAATTAGGCATTGGTATAGCAAAACCTTATAATTAAATTACGAATAATGAACTCAAAGTTATCTTACATCACTCTGAAATATCTTCCAACAATTCTAATAGTCTTCTTTGTCGAGTTTTTCTTTAGATTTGTCTTTTCTGCTGTTCTTGTAATAGTGAACATCTTAATTTATTGGTTGAGCAATTTCAAGAAACAAAAAAAGGATTTGTATTTAGAAAATATCAACAAAAAAATGATTAAGGAGGCATTAACAGAAATCAACATACTTTTGAACTTCCATTTCCTGAAGATATTCCAGGTGTAGCTGAACCAAATGCAGATATTAAAAAATATATTGCACAAAGACCTCAAAAGTATAAAACCAAAAAATTCTATTTAAGTATTTCGCAAAATACTTCAAGTTAATAAATTTTTTTTTTTTTATATAAAAAATTACCTACTTGATTTTATTTAGCAATTTGTAAAGGTCAATAGTATAATAATAGACCATTAAATGATAAAAGAATCAATGGTCTTTTTAAAGAAATCTGTATAATTTGTGGGTTTGATATTAGTGGATGAAATATCTCTAATCATTTAGGTTGAGATACATCTATTCAATCAATCTTTAATGCTAGAAATCAAAAAATCGAAGCTATGGCTATTTCAGGATATACCTCTTTTGCTGGAATTCAAAATTATCTAAAAATAAGCAAAGATAAAAAAAAAAATTCTTGATTCTGTTATTCAACGTTTAATCAAAGTATGTTTTTTTTTTTTTTTTTTTTTTTAAAAATAGATAAACACCAATTCTTTATTTATTCGTATATTACAAGGTATATATTATAAAAGAATCAACATCTCTTGGGTATAAAGCATACAGCAAGTTTAATGCTAGCCTACCTACTAAAACTATAAATAGCTAATACTGAAAAAGACATTTTAAAACA